CTACAACGTGAGGACTGAGTTAGCAGCACTGTGGCTAACAGCTAACAAACTTTTCATCTAAACATGTCGCTGTATGGAAGTATTTTACACTAAACACCACAAAACAAGACAGCAACGTGCAATGTCTGCAGAGCCATAGCACCACATTAAACCACATAAAAGTTAGTTTTACGAAACTGGTTGAATCAGTTTGACAAGACTGTCAACAAGGAAGAGGGCCGGCAATGGAGGAGGGGCGTACCAAAGAGACCATCTAATCACAAGCAGAACTGGTTTGTTCCACTTCCATCAGTTTTGTTGTGTGTTTCCTTGACTGATGAAGCCTTCTGGATCGAAGATGAAACGTTTCAGCGCAAAAAAAGAAACTGTCCAGATGACCTGACTGAAAAATGTTGGATTTTATACCTGGATTATTGAGCATGGACTTTGTTATTACTTAAAACACACATTCTCATGAATAAATATTCAGATATGACATATTTAGGATTAAACTTAAAACATACAATGTTTTACCAAAGGTGTCGCTGTCCATATCCTGAAAAGGAATGTCATTAAACAAAGGGTTCTTATGGTGTTATCTTCATGGGAACCAGTCTAGGAGGAATACTCCTTTTCAATAAAGGAAGATATCAAAATAGTGAGTTCGGATGTTTCAAAACCTCCGAGGTCAGTTGAAAAAAAAGCTCTCATTAAAACGATCTGTCTGTTTCATGGGAAATGAGTTCATATTGGTAGTGAGTTTAACACAGTGACAGTTTTTTTTATTACATTAAGTCAGCTAAGGAGTTTGTGAGCTGAGCTGAATACAATATGGTTGTTTGTTCCCAAGGCAGCACGGTGGCGCAACTGGTAGAGCTGCTGCCTCTCAGCGAGCAGGTCCCTGGTTCAAACCCCGGTCCATGGGCCTTTCTGGGTGGAGTTTGCATGTTCTCTCCGTGCATGCGTGGGTTTTCTCTGGGTACTCCGGTTTCCTCCCACAGACCAAAAACATGCATGTTAGGCTGATTGGTAACTCTAAATTGTCCCTAGGTGAGAGAGAGAGTGAATGGTTGTTTGTCTTGTTTGTCTCTATGTGTCCCTGTGATGGACTTGCGACCCGTCCAGGGTGTACCCCGCCCCTCGCACAGTGATTGCTGGACATGGGCACCAGCGACCCCCATGACCCAAAATGGAATAAGCGGGTAAAGAAAATGGATGGATGGATGATTGTTCCCAAGGGAATAGATGAATCTTATTTTAACAGTTTCAAACACAAAACACAGGAATGGTGTTTGTTTGGGATGAGATCAACTGTTTCTGAGGTGGTGTTCCCGTACATCTGTGATGTTGATAAGAAAATTGCTATTCACGTGTAAAAGGCGAATCATCAGCCCAACAATTGGTCTTGAATGCCTTGATGTTCACAGAGGGCTGAGTGATGAAATAACAGAAGGTGTGATAGTTGAATATGGAGACCCCTGCCCCTATTTAAAGATGGATGGATTCTCTTCACAAAGATGGCTTCTTTTTCTCCTCTCTCAATTCCTCTCTTATCAAGAATATGTATGTAAGAATATCAATATTATCACTCAGCCCCCGGTGAATAGCAAACAGAGATCTTATCATCAGTTGTTAGGCTGATGGTCCTCCATGTGAATACATGTGAATACTGATTCTGGCTAGCAGAAACTGGCTGATGAGTTCTCTTTGACTGAGCTTTTAGCACCTTCTCAGACTAAAGAAGTCGTTTGAAAAAAAGACAAAACATTTCAGCAAAGAAGAATCCTAATCAAAGAAAACTGGAAGAGAGAGAGAGAAAGGGAGCTAAAGACCAAGGCCCTATTTACATGGACACGGTGGGGGGAAACGTAGGTTTTTTTCATATATTAATTAGAGGAAAAGATTTGCGTTGACACAGACAAATTTTGTGTTTACATGCATCCGCAGGAATCCCCCTGCCCCACAGAATCAGCTGTAGTTTTCACGCCAGGTCATTAGTTGGCGCTAAGAATTTTGTACATTCACCTAATGCGCATGCGTGCTGCCTCGGTCTGCTCCTTTCCTTTGGGCTAAAAGCTCAGCTAACAACAACTTAACAACAAGTTAAAGCTGGATTTTGGATAAGAGTCGACAGATTTGATGCCAAGCGGGACCGCTTCATTTAACAGCACGAGATCCTGAACTGTCTCAACAAACATTTTGTTGCTTCTAGTTCTTTATTTGACACAGTTACTAATGGAAGATCAGCCACTTCACTTAATAACCAAACTTCTACAAATCAAATCCCTCCTACAAGTCAACCCTCAGTTAATCACAGCTTCTCTTTTTCTCCATTCTCAGTCAGTGAGGTCAATAAACTGTTAAAAGATCTTGATCCTAAAAAATCTGCAGGTCCAGATGAACTTCCACCTTATTTCTTAAGGCTGGCTGCTCATATCATCACAGTCCCTGTGACCCACATCTTCAATCTCTCCATAAGACAAAACTCCATCCAGACACTTGAAAACAGCCTTTGTTCCTCCTTTGCTGAAGGGAGGTGACCCCACCTCACTGAACAACTATTGACCAATCTCTAAACTCTGCATTTTAGCCAAGGTTCTAGAAAAACTGATAAACTCTCAAATCAAAAATTACCTAATCAAAGAAAACTGGAAAAGAGAGA